GTGGGGGGGGGGGGGGCATTAGGAACGGAAGGAATGAGTATCTTTGAATTTCAAAACAAAGTTGCTAGATACCTTGAGGTGGGTAATAAACAGACACCAGTTAAGCATCCTTGGGCCATCTCAATTGATGATGCCTGACGATGGATTTTCCAGTTTGAATGCTTGGTTTATATGGCTGGCAGGGACCTTAAGGCTACAACATTTAGTGCAACGCCCTCATTTTTACGGACCGAAGCCCAGAGATGTGAAATGCTGAGCCTGACATCTCTGGGCTAGTTAGTGGTGGAGGGACTAATGCCTCCACAAGCAGTGACTTGTGGTTCACTCTGCTCTTTCCGGGGCAGTCCACGGATAGGAATTTTTTTCCTATGCCTAGGGCTGTGTGAGTGCATCAAGGAGAGAGAAGTGCTTTAATGAGCTGTTGCAGATGGGCAGCTGGGGACAGCAAGGGCAGCGTGGTGCAATAGATGGGCCTTTACAAATCTTCCTGCCCAGGCGCCTGGATACTGCAGCCAGGGGAGAGTGCTACCATAACGGGCGGCAATGTAGCTGGACAGGCTGTATGCATGTAAGGACAGACTGCTCCAGGAGCCGACATCCTGGCTGAAGGCCTACCCCCTGCCAGCATTAGCCAAGACGCTTACCAGCTGCTACTGGGCTCAGACCCACCCTGTCAGCCCCTGGGTTAGCAGTCGAGAGGGGCAACTTGGATTCTGCTGCTTTCTGGACAGCAGTGACCTCCCCAGCACCAGGGAGCTCATTACCAGTCAGGGGCCCTATGGCAGCCTCCCCTGACAGAGGGTGAAGATGAAAGCAATAACACGCTGGCTGTTCTGCAGCCCCTGGTCACCCCTGGTTTTATTAAAGCCAAAGTTGCAAACATCCCTAATGAGGATAAAAGGCTGGCAAGGTGCATAGGATCTGGGGCTGAAACCCCCTGAGAAAGGGGGTGGTGCTGAGAGAACCCAGGAAGGCCGCCCATGGGGTCAAGCTGGGCCCGGCTTTGCAGAGAGGAAGGTGGCGACCAGGAGATGCTGACTCTGTTTGCTTAGCTCCATCTGTTTACTCAAAAGTAACGCATTTACTTTCCTTTATCAAATAGCCCTTCCTCTCCTGCCTACGTGTACAGGGGAATTAAACCCCCCTTGATCCACGGAGCCAAGAGCAGCTATCTTGCCATCAGGTCCAGCGAGGCCCAGTCACCCACAGCAGAAGGTCCTGGACTGGGCTTCGGGCCCCCCGGCCCCAGTTTCCTCTCTGCGTCCAAGTCATAGGGGGATATTGGCTCACTCCCTTTGCCTGTCTGGGCCCAACGATGGAGGGTGGAGCTCACTGTTCAGTGCAGGGACCAGGATGGGGGTGGGGGGTTCCAAACCTCGCTGCAGACTCAGCACGAGTGCCCCCAGCTGCCACAGTTCTACCACAAAAGGAGGGGACCCGCTGGGTCGGTGCTCTCCCTGGAGGGAGCCATCCTTGAGGGCAGTCCCACCCATAGCACCCCAGGTGATTCCTGAGGGATCTCCCACATCCCCAGGCAAGTCTCCCAAGCTCACAAACCAATCAGCTTAGACTCCTGCGACAAGACAGCCTTCGAAGGCTCCAGAGTAGCCATGTGGGGAAATGGTGACAGCAGCCTTTTGTTCACCCCCCTCACAGGGGGGCCCTAGGAGCTTCCAGGTTCCTTACCAGGGCCCTAACATGATCCGGGTATGTGTGTAGCTCCTCTTGTACTATCGGGCACCCCTGAAGCACAGCAGAGGTAAAGCAAAGCCCCTGCCCCTAAGGGGCCTCCAGTCCCTGGACGGCATGGGAGGGCCCAGCTGCAGCAAGGCAGGGACTCGGTAACACCTGTGAGCAGCTCAGGGACAGAAAGTGCTGCAGGGGTGTAGGGGAGATATGCTCTGTGTGGGCTGCACCCTGGGCGAGGATCCCTGTGAGGGGCATGGCCCTGGGCCCTACAAGATGCAAGGGATTGTCCAAGCAAAGATAAGAGGAGGAGGCATTTTGGCCAAAGGGACCAAAGATATACCAGCCAGTTGGAGCAGATGGTTGGCATAGAGGAACAGAGAGAAATAATCAGGTGAGGAGGGAAGACAGGACCCAGTTGCTGAGGGTTCGGAATGCAAGCTGGGAAGATGGGCCTTGATTCCAGGAGCCAAACAAGGGGAGCCACTGAGAGCGTGCAAGCAGCAGCGCTGGCCTATGAAAGGCTTAACTTCACGAAATAGTCATTTCCTCCTGTGTGCAGTAGGGATACTAAGATCACCTACCTCACAGGGCTGTGGTGAGACTCAAAGGAGATAATGTAGCAAAGGATTTGCCGCCTGGTACGCATGCAATAACCTTGGTTCTTATTCCTGTTATTGAGTCTGAAAGGGTTTCTCTAAGTCTGGGCAGGATTGGAGAGTTACAAGGAAATAAAGGGAGCTGGGGGCCTCCTTGTACCTCGGTGCCCCCGCCAGAGATGGAACATTCAGCCAGGTGCACTGCTGACCCGACCCCTGCTGCATGAGGGGACAGTCATACACCCACAGCACCTGTCATGGGCCACTTCCTGTGTCTCTCTCTGAGGGAGAGGGAGATCCTGGTGCCTTCTTTTAACCGGTTACACCCCCCTACACATGGTGCCTCTAGCAGGTTCTCAGCGAATACAAACAGGAGAACAGGTGAAGTTGTGGTCTAAGGTCTAGAGGAGCCAGGGTTACCTTGAGGTGCTCCCTAGGTGGGCTGGGAGGGCGTTGCTCTCCTAAGGGTCGGAGTCCAGCTGTGTCTCCCACCAGCCACGCAAGCCTGGTCGGGACTTTAAACCCAAGTTTGAACACTGAGTTGTTCTCTGTGAGATGGAGGGAATAATGACAATGCACCCTGCCTTGCACAGTGGCTGTGAGACTCAGAGGTGGAGCTTCCTGTCACAGAAGAGCTTCGTGGGGCACAGGAGCTCGTGGGTGTTGGTCTTGGCTCTTGTGCTGGGGTGGGGGTGTGGGGGTAGCTCTCTCTATGCTGTGTCCAGCTCCGCCCCAGCCAGACACCACCCTTCCACCCCTCACACCCACCCCCAATACCCCCGCCCCCTCCACCTCTTCACCCAGGGAGCCGGGAGGATTCACCTGCTACTCCTGGGATTTGATTCACCAGTGGGTTAAAAAAGGACAAATCCTGGGCTAGGGAAAGGGTGGGTATCAGTGCCACCTAGGGGAGAGCATTGAGACCACAGGCTCTGGAAGGGGTGGCGGGTTATTCTCCAGGTGAGGCCAAGTATCAGGGGTCTCTTGGAGTCCCCAGTAGAGGGTGGTTCTTTGTGAGGAGAAGGGACAAGAACCTTGGAGCCACCCTTGACTGCTCTCTTTCTCAAAAGTCACCTCCTCCAGGAAGCCTCCCCGGCTAGCCTGTCTAAAATTTCAACAACTATAGCCTCACCCATGAGCATTTCATATCCTGTTTCCCTGCCTTCTTTTTTTCTCCTTGATCCTTTTTACCAACTTACTTACCATCTTTCTTGTCCTTTGTCCTATTAAAATGTAAGCTCCGGGGGCTTCCCTGGTGGCGCAGTGCTTGAGAGTCCGCCTGCCGATGCAGGAGACGCGGGTTCGTGCCCCGTTTCGGGAAGATCCCACATGCCGCGGAGCGGCTGGGCCCGTGAGCCATGGCCACTGAGCCTGCGCGTCCGGAGCCTGTGCTCCGCAAATGGGAGAGGCCACAACAGTGAGAGGCCCGCATAACGCAAGGAAAAAAAAAAAAAAAAAAAAAATGTAAGCTCCGTTAGAGCAGCGATTTTTGTCTGTTTTGTTCTTTTCCACATCTCCAGTACCCAGGGCAACACCTGGCACATAGCAGGTGCTCAATTACTACTTGTTGACTGACTGAATGAGTGAACAAATGGATATCTGCATCTGAAATCAGAGCCAGCCCAAACCCCGACCTCCTCCTCTTCTACCCCGGGTCTGGGAGATTTAAGAGAGGAAACACCTCCATGTCTTGGAGCCCCACGTCAGCCTCAGAGCCTGAGGGAGAGGTTTTGCAGTGACAGCACCCTCCTCCACCAGGCGTGGCACGGGAAGAGGAGGCAGTCCAGTGGGGTGCTGTTTAATTCAACAGCTGGACATGCTTACCAACTTTGATGTTTTCCTATTCCCTGTTGCTCAGAAAGTTCCTAGGATTGGGATCCCTGGTCATGATGATTCTAGGGGCAGGAGAGGCAGCAGAGTGTGTGCTCCATGCTGGGTTAACTTCTGAAGCATGACCACATTTAAGGACAAAGCGGATCCAAGACCTGGCACAAACTTGGAATGACGAGTGTATGTCTTCTTGGTCAGCACCATATCCTGGGCAGGTCCTGATTCCCTGTGCTTCCACACTGAAGCCTGGATGTTGTAGTGCTAGATGTATTTCAGGAGAGGCAAGGAAGCTGCCAAAGCAGAGGGACTCACAAAGAATGAGCTGAGAGCTAGAACCAGATATGTGGGGAGAGGGGACTCCTGATGACCAGAGTGGGTCTTGTACAGAATACTGTCATGACCCCAGGCCAGGCAGGGTGGGGAGTCAAGGGGTCCAGTGACTGAGAAGGGTAAGTTGGAGAATAGGGCTGGGCCCCAAAAGGCCCGGTGGTCTGGAGGCTGCAGCCAAAGGGCATAGGTAGGGCAGGTGAGGCCAAAGCAGGAGGGGGAGGACCAGGACCAGAGTCTGATCAGAGCTCAGAAGGAATACTGAAGGGGACAAATTCTGCTGAAGAGCCAACGTTGTTATCATTGCCTTTTATACCCAGTTACTCTCAGCATAGAGGCCAGAACGTCAGCCCTTAAAGACATAGCACTCTCCCTCAGAGAGCCTTCTCCTGGGCTCCGGAGTGGCCCTGCAGCTGCACTGGAGCTGTGTGCCCCTCATCTGCCTTCTTGTCTGCTTCTTTGCAGGAAAGCGTGGATTTGGGAGAGATCATGTTCTCCCTCTGCTACCTGCCCACAGCAGGCAGGCTCACCCTCACTGTGATCAAATGTCGGAACCTCAAGGCGATGGATATCACAGGCTACTCAGGTACCTCTCCTACCCGAGTGCTTGCCAAGTGGCCTCCCAGCGGCCTAGATATTAGGATGTGGAAAGATGTTCAGAGAGAAGGGGGAAGAATTGTCAGTATTCTTCAAACAGGAGCACAGCCCTGCAGGCAATTGGCCTGGCTTTGAATTCCAGTTCTGCCACTTCCTTGTGGTGTAATGCTTTGGTTTCCTGATCTGAAAAAAAAAAAAAAAACCTTACACAGGTTGCTTTAAGGATAAACGAGTTAATTCATGTAAATGCTTAGAAATGTGCCAGACACATAATAAGCAGTCAGTAGATATTGGCTATTACTATCATTCTTTCTCTTTGAGGATGAAGAGAATAAGAAGCAAATAAATAGGTGAAAAAAATTAAGGAACATCTTTCTAGTTTGTGTGAGGCCTCAGGACTTCCAAGGGTTATGTCAAGTTTGAGTGTCTTAAGTGTTTGTAGGTCCACGCAGCGACGGCAGCCCTGCAGACTTAGTCAAAGGAACAGAGGCGCTGAAAAGCAAAGTGCACTTGTATTTGAGGTTTTCCTGCAGGGCTCTGGGCCTCTGTCTCAGCACCAGGAGAGCTGCTAGGTACAGCAGGAGAAAGAAGTCCTGTTCTAGCAACCGAGGAGATGCTTGTTTGGATGCAGCCTCAGAGCCTGCAGGCTGGACCCGGCGTCAGAGGCTTGATCCTTTCCCACGATTCTGCAAGTCATTGTCAGAGAAGGTTTTTGAGTTTTGATATAACAGAGGAGTCCCAGGAGCCTCCTTCCCCGTGTCGGCTCAAATTAGCCCAAGGGATGGGGTAGAGCATCCCAGAGAGCAGGCACGTAGAACCGCCTGGGCTGCACTCAGTAGCAAATGCAGGGAATGGCTTGGTTTTTTTCCCTAGACCCCTACCCAAGAGGCTCTTCTGGAGATTCCAGTTAGCGATATAAATCCACTCCACAGGTGCCTCTGAACTTGGCTGGGAGTATATGGAAGATTTTTCCTTTTACTCATTAATTATTTCCTTAGTGTAATCACAGTTGCCATAAAGAGGTGACCGTCTAGCTGAAAACATCTGGGCCCAGGCCCAACCTGGTGCATTTGGAAGAAGATGAGATATTAGGCCTTGAAATATGAGGTTTCGGGGAAGGGTGGTCAGGAAACGCTGAAGTAAGGTGTATCTGTTGTGGCTTTGAATCCCTCAGAGACTCTGCTCCCAGCCCGCACTGTCTCTCTGCAACACTCATACCTTCCAGGCCCAAAGCTGCCCCAGATAGAGCCTGACCCAATGCCCCTAGCGCCTGCCATGATGCCTCTCCTTCCACTGAAGCTACCACCACACATCAGGATGTGGTGAGGAGCTTAAAGAACCTCTTCCGACACGTGCAGAGCTCTTAGGCAGCAGCAAGCTGGCTTCCTCCAAAAATACTACCAATGTAGATTGCATTTTAATATCAAAATAAGTGTGTGCAGGGACAGAAATTCACTGAGGACTCTCAAGACTGCTGAAGGAAATAGGATTTTGCTACCCAAGTCCCCACACTATCTTCTCTGGTGTAATTAAATTGATGTGCTAGAGAGAGAGCTTACAGCGAAGCCGCCAAGGTAATCGTAAAGGCTGTTCCACATCAGAGGGTTGGGGGTGAGAGACTTTTCTCACGCTGAGTTCTAACCTCCCTCTCACGATTGCCTCTCTTTTCTACCTGGGTTTGGAATCTGGTATTAAATCTCAGCTTGATTCTGAAAATTCAGGGGTCCTCTTTTTGCTAGGGATTTCTATTTTATTCATTGAGGTAAGCAAGTGTGTGGGACAGTTCATGGAACACACTAAGCATTGAATAAGTATGTATTGAATGATGAATGAATGAGTGAATTTATAGGATAAAGAACTTTGTCAGAGGGTGATGCAGTGGGGACACACCTGCCAGGGGCCTCTCAAACTAGATCTCCTGTTTTGGAGGATAAGTTTGAGGTTGCCTTCAGCCCGGACTGCTTTGATGTTGGACTAAACTAGGGAGTGGATGGAGCTCATTAATTGCCTGTTCTTGATTTATATGACTTTGACCTCTAAAGCCAAGGATCTTCCTATTCTCCTCGATCTAAACTAGTTGTGAAACAATTCTTTAAGCCTATCCACTAGAACCATGACAATAAAAAATAATACAAAATAATAATAAGGATCAGTATACCCCAAAGGGATGGTGAGTGAGTAAACACACCCATCTCTGCCACATCTGGTCCGTACTGCTTTGAGTCTAGTGGTTACAAATGTAAACTTTGGAGTCAGACCTAAGTTGAAATCTTAGGCAAGTTTCTTCATCTCTCAAACCTCAATTTCCCTATCTATAAGAGGGGGGTGATGAATATTTTATAGGGTTGACATGAAGTTTAAATGACATGATATGTGTAAATCTCTTAGCGTGGTGCCTGGCACATACTGCATGCTGAATTATGATGGCCCTCATGACAAGGAGGCTGAAACACACTGCTGGTTGTTGTGCCCCCTCCCTCAGCTGCGTAAACATCATTGGCTGCTGGAGAGGAAAGGGCCTCAAAGGTCGTCTGGAGCCAGCATTCCATTAGAAGCACAGGCTTCTGCCCTAGAGCAAAAACCCTAAGGAAGAGTCCTCTCTCTGCTTAGCCTCTTGGATGATGGTGAGAGTATGGGTTCCTTCAAGGGAAACACCCACTGAATTTTATAAATTAGATATGCCTCATACGAGTGAATAGAGGTGGGGAAGGAAGCTGAGAATCTCCCAGCTAATCATCAGGCATTTGCCTAGTGGCCCGTGGGACAGGTGGCTCTGTCACATCTTTCCAAGCCTGGCGACATGGAGGTTTGCTCCGCTGTGGGTGCCTATGGAAATAGGCATGGCAGGGGATGAGGCAGCACTTGGGCAGCCTCAAGCCTGAAGACGCTTTCCAAGGCAATGTTCACACTTCAGGAGCATAGAGGTTGCCAAGTTAACAACAGGTCTCGGAGGTAGCTATCCCACCCATCTGCTTGGACCTCGACACGGTCTGGGGCGTATCCATAGAGAATGGAGCCTACGGACACGAGAAAGCTATCTCACAGCAGTTCTAGGAACTCCTCCTTCCTTTTTACTGAACATCCTCCTGAGAGAGAACCCTTGCAAATGGGTCGTCAGAGACAGCAGGGTGATTAAACACCTCATGGTCTCCCCAGGTACCCCATAAACCCAAGTGCCCCCATGGCTAAGGCACAGCTGCTGCTGTCACGTTGGTGAGTCCGTAGCACATGTGGGCATCTACAGAGCTGCCTTTAAGGCTTGAGTTTCTGATCCCATGTCACAGGTCTCTGTAGCTTCCCCAAAGCTGTGCACCTCTTCTGCCACCTGAACAATTCCCCAGGGAGCATGAGCGCCTCGTTGGGTACTTGGGTGCCCAGGACATAGAGCCATACGCCTATGAATGAGGAGCCGGGAGCGGCTACTTGGTCCGCACCTCCTGACAGAGTCACAGGAGCCCTGGCTTCTGGGCAAGCAGGTGTCTCCGCACATCAGTGTCTCAAAAGCTGTTATTACCTGTGAGTTGCCCTCCTGTTTCTTGAGTTGTGCAGCATAAATAACAACTATGCCGGTGACTGAGACACCTGAGCGATGAGATACAATCGGTGTCACTTCACTTGGATGAGTAGAAAATTTCAGGGTAGGAAGCTGACCATGAAATACCCATTCAGAAAACTAAGGAAGAGACAAGGGTGGGAGGAGCGTGGGAGGTCAGTAAAAAGACATCTCCTCGAGGGCTGGAGAGATTCCAAGATCCCACTGAGAGATGAAATGGCAGCCGGCCACCCTGAGTCCCAGGAGGCTGCCTTGCTCACTCCCCCGGCCACGGCCCCCTCCTCCTCCACTGCCCAGAGTGGGCAGGAAACAGCTTCCGGGGAGGCAGAGAGCAGGGCTCCTACCCCCTCCCTGATGCCAGATGGAAATGAGCTTGATGGGACAATGAGACCCATAATCCTGTCCTCAGGTAGGGAGGACCGGACAAGCATCGTGACTGTCGCTGTACATTTACTGTCTCATTGCTACTGCTTGGGTGTCATCGATTCTATTTTTACCCACTTTATGCTTTGGTGAATAATACTGACAAGACCCCCCAGAGAAAAGGCTCCAAGTAGGTGAAAGGAACAGAGTGCCTTTGTTCAGCTTCCCCACCCTTTGGAGCCAGCCAGCCACAATAGAGTTGAGATTTAGTGAACTGCATACCCATGGGCAAGTATCCTGTCTGATTTGGGGCCAGCTTCCCCATTAGTGGAAGTCCGTTAAGCACTCTCCTAAGAAGCCTGAGGTCACCAAAGACCGTGTTTATTAAGCACAGAGCATCTGCAGAGACAGGTGTGCTACATAAATACAAGGTGGTTTAATTATTTTAACAACCCACTGATACCATCTGAGAGTAACAGTAGGTCTGGGGCTTCCATCCTTCTGCTGCACATGATGTTTAAGGACATCTGTTTAACACGCTCCCTTCCCTTCTCACTGCCCCCATTGGCACAGATCCATACGTCAAAGTGTCCCTGCTTTGTGACGGGCGGAGACTGAAGAAAAAGAAAACCACCATAAAGAAGAACACCCTCAACCCCGTCTACAATGAGGCCATCATCTTTGACATTCCCCCGGAGAATATGGATCAAGTCAGTCTGCTCATCTCGGTTATGGATTATGATCGGTAGGTACAGGTCCCTGAGGGCCACGATTCCCTGCCCCTCGTCCCCACCTCAGTGCAGCACAGGGCTCTTGGACCTTGGACCTTGTGGTTCATGGCTCAGACACTCATTGGTCTCAAATCTGGCTCCACCCAAGGAGGGTACAGGAGTTTGAGGAAAAGCATGGATTCCCCGCCAGAGTAGAAGCTCAAGCTTCACGTCCCAATGGGCTCATTTCCATCAGGGGCTGCCCCACCCATCAATTTCCCTGAATTCCCCCCCGACTCTTCCCATTCCTCCATCTGGCATCTGTCCTTTAGATTCCCGCCCACCCCCCCTCCCCCCACCCATCCTCTCCATTTCCACTGCTGCTACCACTCCCACTTGGGGATGTCTGTGCAGCCCTCCTAGCTGACCCCTGCCTCCATCACTTCCTGCCTCATCCCAGCCAACATACCAAGGCACACCTTCCTAAAAGACCACTTTGTTCCTGGGCCTGCCCCTCTCAAGAACCATCAGTAGCTCCTGCTGTCTGGACAAGCTCTTCCCCCGGACTCTCAAGACCTTCCAGATCTGGACCCAGCATATCCATCCAACTTGATTTCCCCCACCTTGTATGTGTTTCTTCTCTACCGCTTTCCAAATCCTGCATCCCCGTCAAGCCTGGCTCAAACACATTCTCCATCTACTTCAGCCACTGTGACTCCTTCTCTCCAGGTGTCACTTTCACTGAAGGAGGAAAAAAACATGCAGTAAAGCCTCAATCTAGGATCTTTAGCACAAGTTCCCGGACATAGTAGATGCTGGGTGAACAAATATGAGTGATGATTGATGTTCTTGCTGACTGAATAAATCACATCACAGCCACTAGGTATGGAGAAATGGTACTCAGAGCAGGTTGATTTATTTCCCAATAGCGCTAATGTCTCAAGTGCTCACTGAGTCAAATAAAGGAAGAGACTTAAACTCTTCCACTCCCCAAAGTCAGGCCATCTGCCCACCATTCCTGAGATTCCAAACAAGTTTAGAACCTTTTGCTCATCTGTCTGTGTCCAATGTCCACCCAAGGAGGCTGGGCAATATTTCACTGCCGCTGGCACCCTGAGGCCCTGCCAAGCATCTGTTTACAGAGCTCAGTATTCTGAGTTAGACCTGGGGGGCTGAGACCCAGACCGCGGGACTTCCCTTTCTGAAAGCATGTCTGGTCACCGATGCCTGGCTCTTTGTTTCTCCCTTAGAGTGGGCCACAACGAGATCATAGGAGTCTGTCGTGTGGGGATCAGTGCCGAAGGCCTGGGCAGGGACCACTGGAACGAGATGCTGGCGTACCCGCGGAAGCCCATCGCACACTGGCACTCCTTGGCGGAGGTAAAGAAATCCTTCAGAGAGGTGGGTGAGGTCACGCTTGGCCCTTGGCATGTTTGCTGCATGGCAGCGTGGGCTGGAGAATGGCAGTTGGCTGCTGCGAGACCTCGCCTTTGTGGGTCCTTGGGGGGCACTGGGGGGGTGGGGATACACGCTTCTCACCCAGGGTGTAACAGGCAGAAAGGAAAGGGGGGAAGATGGTGGGAAACTGCTTGACAAAAAGCCTTTTAGTGGCACTGAGTTCAAAACAGAAAAGAAAAACTTGGAGGAAGCCTTCCCAGCAGCTCACTGTGCCAGGCCCGGAATGCTTCCACGAAGCCCTTGAGCCAAGTCAGTCCTTTCAGAGAGAGCCCCAAGAGGGTGAGATCAGAACTTGGCAAGAATTTCTACCCCTGTCGAAGCAGTAAGTTCCCTGAGGCTCTAGCCAGACAGTCCTGGGGCAGTTCTCGCCACGTGGATGGAGCTGGCCAGAGAGAGGATCCTACCCTCGTGAATGTTGCTTCTCCCCATTGTTGGAGAAGAGAGTGTGGCTTCAAGGTGGCCCAGTTTCCAGCCGGATCCTAACAGAGACGTAATGGACACAGCACTGCCTGGGAGTCCCGAGACTTGGGCTCCAGCCCTGGACCTTTCCAACTTGCAGCACAATCTTGAGCTAGTTATTGCTCTCTCAGCTGCAAAGAAAATGTTCCTTCCAGTGACACAAGCCTGCCCCATTTCCACCAAACGGCACCAATTTAAGATCCTGCCGTTTATCACCTTGGTGGTCCTCCGGCCGGCTTTTTCTTAAATGGTTTGGGACATGGGGGTAGCCAAGCAAGTTTTAAACCTCATCTTATTACTTCCACCCGTATCCTAGAAAGCCAGGTGATCATTCACTCATTTTAATAGGTTTCCAGCCAGGGAGTCTAGAGAGTTGTATAAAAATTGGAAAATCTACTAATAAAAAAATAAGCCACATGGCCCCTCAGCTTAAAAACAGCGTAACCCCTTCCCCGTGTTCTATGACACAGAAAAGGTGTGGGCAGCAAACCCAGAGAATCTGCCGTCTCCTCTTCCCTCTCAGGGTGGTCAAGCCTGCTGGCACCTGTTGCCAGCAGTGTGAGGCTTCACATTTCTGTCTGGTGTTTGCCTTGATTTTACCACAGCTGTGGAGCTTTAATGAGTGAGGCCAGTCCCTCAGCTCCTAGGCTCCCCTTTCTTCCAGAAGGCCCTCTCTGCAGGGTGTGGGTGAGGTACCCACAACCAGCCTGCACCTACGCAGGAGGCAGCCAGTGGGCATCCAGCACCTCACCGACTGCAGGGCTGATTCAGTCTAGGGAGGGGGTGTGGCACCCCTCCTTTTAAAATCCTTTGCAGATATTTAAGGATAGAATAAGTGTACTAAAACGTTCAGGATGGCGTGGGGCAGGGGCAAGGAATGGGAGCTGAGAGGCCTCTGATGGGCTGCAGGGCCTCAGGCACCTCACTGCCCCACCTGGTCTTCAGTTTCCTGGTTGGTAAAATGAGGGGGTGGGCTCCTCCCATCTCAGCTTTTCTAGGAAACTCTGGCCCAAAATGACAGGACGACAGGTGGCAGGTGAGACCACATCTTGCATCGCCTTTCTGACCTTGAAGCTGCAATAATCCATTGCTGTTACCGGGTTAGTCTGGCCACACAGACTGGAGTAACCAGCCAACAGTGGCTGGAGATGGGGCTGAGGTGCAGGGTAGCACAGAGGGGCTGGGGCTCGGCCCCAGCATCGCTCTCCATGACGAATACCACCTAATTAAGCCAAATAATTGATTTCAAGTCCCGTTTCTTTGAGACTCACTGGTCCAGACTACAAAAGAAAGATAAAGTAGAACCAAGCCCTTGAAAATGAATATTTGATAAGACAGAAAAGGGAAAGTAACAGTATATGGAAAACGGAAAGAGAATAAATTGATTCATATCCTTTGGGTTTACTTTTTTCTTGACCTCGCACACCAAGTTCCTGAGACTTTCCCTTCCCGCACTCCCTGGCCTTCCATTTTCTGCTCAGCTGATCATTTCTCTGTGTGAGGAAGCTGAAAATGACATTCATCTTGGCAACTTAGGATTTCTTCAGTACAAATTTATAAAAATGTGTACCTACACTTTTTAGCATCCATAGTTTAAGTACCTTTATAGAGATGCATCTAAAAACCACTAGGGTAATATTAAGTACACCCTCTTTGTGTTCATGTGATGCATTGTACTTGAACACTTATCATCTCAATCAGAGCTCCTGCCTTCTTTTTGGTCCTGTTCTGGACACTGAGCAAGAACCTTGCTCTTGGAGCTTGTTTCTCCCGTTTGTATAATACATACAAAACTCTTATTCTCCCACTCCTGGGAAGATAAATGGCATCATATCTAGAAAGCACTATATTTATATTCCATCTTTCTTAGAGGAGTTTCAAGTGCTGTGATCATTTCTTTTTTTTTTTTTGCGGTACACGGGCCTCTCACTGTTGTGGCCTCTCCCGTTGCGGAGCACAGGCTCCGGACGCGCAGGCTCAGCGGCCATGGCTCACGGGCCCAGCCGCTCCGCGGCATGTGGGATCTTCCCGGACCGGGGCACGAACCCGTGTCCCCTGCATCGGCAGGCGGACTCTCAACCACTGCACCACCAGGGAAGCCCTCATTTCGTTTTTATTAACGAGAACAGAGGGCACCATACTGGCTTGTTTGTTTGGAGTTTTAAAATTAGGTTGAAGGAACAAATTAACTGAAAAGGTATTTTTCCCTGCTGGGATTTTTTCATGAATAAAAATTGATTAAGCCACAGTGAGCATCCTTCCCCAGCAGAGGCTGTGGCCTCTTTCCTCTCAGCACTCCTGCCCAGTGCTACGTGCTATCACTGTCACCACACACACAGCCCACGTTGACCAGCTATCTTCTCCAAGGCGGTTTACTATGAAGGGTCAAATTCAGATCATCTGCCAGAGATTTTATATCTCTGTTGGAATGTCACACATTTCAGAACAATAAAAGATCTCACTGGACCACAGCCGCCCTTGAATAATCGTCCTCGTTGGTGTCCCGGGAACCAATTCACTGCTATTTCAGAGCCACCATGGTAAGCCTGCAGGAACCATTCATCTTCCCATTGTCCAGGAGCCCCATCTCCTCCCTCTGTTTATCTTCACAGGAAAAATCAGGGGCTGGCAGAGGAGCCAGTGTGCCTTCTTCATGTGTCCTGGATGAACAATTATGCTCCGTGCGACTTGTCTTTGAGCTATTATATAAAGGAAAAAAGATGTACTCCGTGTAGCCGTTTCTTTCTTTCCTCCTCTGAGCTGGCCTATCAATCAGGTTAAGAGGCATGCTTACCCAGGGGAGAAGCCAGTAATTACAATGTACCTTTCACCGACATTAAACGTTGTAACAGAAAAAGCAGAAGTTCTGAAATGAAGATGTGTTAAATGAAAGCATTAGTAATCATCTTATGTCACCTTCTGGTTAAGAAACCCTTGAGTCAGAAGTCACAGTGGGCTCAAAAACCAGGCATTTATTTATGTAAAATATTTCACCAGGGAAACCCTCGGTTGTGATTTCACTCACGTGGATGCTGCAATCAGAGAGACTGCCACCGGAGTTAGGAGTAAGTACCTGGGATGGCACCAGAGAGGTTAGGTTTCTTATTCCATTGTGTGTCTCCTTCTCCTGATGTGGCCAGGTGCGAAGGTGGCCACAGGATGGAGCGGAGGGAACACTGAGTGTGGACGGAGTTAGGAGACCTGGCCTCAGATCCTGGCTCTGCTCCTAACTAGCGGTGCATTGACTCCTCTGCGTCTTGGTTTTCTTATGTGCAAGAACAAAAGAGCTAGCCTGGATGGTCCCCCAGGCCTGCCTCCGGGTTTCGCATGCTAAGATTGCTCAGGCCCAGGTCACGCTATGGTGGTCATCAATACCTGCCTGTCCAGCCTTTGATTACTTGTAAAGATCTGCAGGTTGGCCTGCCCAGTGGGTACTAAGGGACCATGAAGGACCGAGCCTGGGGACAGGTAACAGAGGCTTTCCTAAGAGCCAGGAACATGAAAGCAATCAGCAGGTCTGGGTCTCTCCTCTGCGTTGTGGGTTCCCACGGGAGATGCTGGAAGGGATGGTCTAATCCTTAAGTGGCTCGGCTCTGTCTAGAAAGGGCTGTGTTGTGAGGTGGGGGGTGGAGAAGGGACCGCGTCCTTCCCCATCCTACCCCTACACATAACACAAAGGTGTAGTCTGCTTCTCCTCAGCCCCATCACTCCACATGGAGACCCCAAAAGCCCATGAGAAGCAAAAGGGGCTGCACTTCAGGTTCAGAAAGGCCATCTCACCCACGTACCTAACTTCTCTCCCTGGAGCCTTGTCCCGCAGGCACCTAGGAGAGTATTGCATCTCCTCTGCTCACAGGAAGGTTGGAGTGAGCAGTGGACACTGACTTGCTTTGAAGTTATACAGTCACCAGACGGCTCTGGAATATTCACAGGGTCAGATCTTTGTCCAGAAAACATGGCTCCAGCTCTGCCTGGCTTTTCAATGTAAAGAAGGGTTCGATGGCCCAAGCGTGGGTCATCCACCCTCAGCCCTCTCCTCACTCCATTACACCTCATTACATCACCATCTTCACAGAGGGGTTAGAGTCGGGCTGAGGGGGTGGCAGCCTGTGAGACAGGACAGGGAGGAAAAGAAAGGTGGAGGCACCCGAAAGGGCAGGGGCTGCCATCTCCTCCCACCTCTTCACAAGTTGAGTGTGAAGTCCCCCGGGAAGCGCTCAGACTGAAGAGGAGAGCCCAGCGCTGAAGCGAGATCAGGGCTTTAGCTGTACGAACAGCTCCCAGACAACTTGCTAAGAATTCATGATTGCAGGATCTTGGCCGTAAGGGCATGCTCTGCAGACGGCCTCTTTCGCTGCTAACAAAATCCTATTTTCAGCGTGAAAAATGGCTGAAGCATTCAGAAATGGTGCAGTCATAGCACCTCATTAGCTAACACACATGCACGCACGTGCACGCACGCACGTGTGCACGCACGCACGTACACACACACACACCTGCACACATGCATTCCACACGCTAGAGAAAGCTTTCATTATCTCCGCAGCAGGTCTTTTCTAAAAATCAGGCCTTCCAAACTAGAAGCCCAAAAGCTGGTCTCCTTACGTTTTTGCATGGCTAACAGCAAAATTCACAAAAGCTTATGAAAAGCCGGGAAAAGGTGAATTCAGTGCATGGGCTAGATGAGTTTCAAAAGTTGAAATGTACATTCCCTTGGCAACAGGTAAGTGGCTCTTTCTCCTCTCCACAGTGGCAGGGCCGAGCCGCCAGCTTCGACAGCGAGAGCTCGTGCCCGTCTCCGAGACCACCTCCGACACCCTGAGCTGCACGCCGACCGGGCCACACCAACGAGACTCAGCAGGGTTCTTTTTGCACTTGCTCAACCGTCTAAACAGTGTTGTGCAGCAGCGGCGGTAGGGGCAGTGCCTCTCACTCCAGAGTCTTAGCTGCCCCGTGTAGGTCAAGGCCGAGACAACTGTCGTGTGGTCAGATACGTCTTAGTCTTTTCTGTCTCCCAAGGTGATGTTTTTCTGGTTCTTTCACTTTTTATGGATCTGCTGTCAGGAAGAAAAGAAGAGAAAAAAAACAAAAAAAGAGGGGAGAGCCCTGACATTGGTTCTATTAAATACAGTGTAACATAGTCGTCTTTGAGGGGGAGGTGGTTTGAGTTTCTGGAATTTTGTGTCTCCACTGAACTCCCTAACCCCGGAGGAGAGGGCAGTGGGATGGGCAATGGCTACTTTGTTAAGTGGGCTTTGGGAAGGTGCAAATCTGGCGAAGAGCCTTTACAAAGGCTACTACTTACGACTCTTAGAAGCTCTTTGCCGAAGTGACATAAACCGAGATGCGGACTCCTGGCCCCATGTTGAAACTGGGAGCATTCCGAGCTATCTGTGAACCTTCAGCTGGTCGTGCAGGGCTCCTCTCTCCCAGTCCTCGTGAATTGAACATGTCTTGATTCCTCATGGGAACTGAGTCACTTTCTTTAGGAATAATTCTGTTGAAATGAACATGCCCTATGTTTTCTGGCACGCCACAGTTAATGACCATATTTGTTTGAAAACAAGATCTTTGTTCTCAAAAATAACCTTCTTGTAAAAAAAAAAAAAAGGAAGCATATATGTTCTGGAATGATTTCTGTGTTATACGTAGCTTTATAGTTCCATGAAGTTTCAAGCAACTGTTTAAAATGCCTAAAGAGATCAAAGAAAAAACTACATAAAATGTCCTTTTCTGAATGGGCAGTTTTGAAATCCAAGGAATAGGTGTAGTCTATCTTTTTATGAACAGTACCTTCTTGATTAAAACCAAGTCAGCTTAAGTCTATTTCAGCCCCCTAGATGCTAGGACAATGTTCATCTTAAACTTTAGTTCTATAGATTATTAAGGACTTTAGTGTGTGTTTGTTTCAGTGGTAGTGAAGGATTTTTTTTTTTTTCTTTAGATCTCTACCGTAGGTCAAATTCAGTTTAGGAAAAAAGAATGTTTGAACTATTCTGTATTGTAATCGTACATTTCTGTTGAGTTAATAGTGGCCTTCCCACCAACCCCCTAGAACTAGATTGATTTGCTCCATCTCAGTCTGTATAGCCCTGGTAGATGTGTGGGTGGGTTTTCACTTCAGTTTGTGGCTGTGAAATGCCAATTTCCAGAGCTGTGTGTGTGACTGGCAAGTGGCAAGTCTGCTGGAGAAGCGCTTCCTTCAACAATGGCAGGTTAAGAATGTAAAAACTGTTCACACACCTTGTGTCTCACTCTTTACATATGTCACATGCTTTAGGAGCATCGATTCAATAAAGTAACCCTTGTTTTAAGCCAAGTTATCAGGTTTCTGTGTAGTGTCTCCTAAGTCCTAAAAATGACCAGATTGGGCAGGAGGTAACAGGATATTGTGGCAAAAGAAGTTTGCATCTTAAAAAAATGTAGATAAACTGAGAATTCACCCTGTACTGAGCTTTAGGCTAGGGGCTAATGTGTCATTGGTGTAAAGATCAGTTTTCTCCCCAAATGTCTTGTGACTGACAGGCCTTCCCAGTCAGGTGGTCTTGCGGCTGGATGTTCTCTTGAGAGAAGAAAAAACTCAAGGTCATGACAAGACTTCCAACAGGCCATGAACTTCATTCTGTTTCTTGACTCTAGAATGACCCCATCAAGATGGCCATCTCAATCACTGGGCAGGTGCTGGGGAGTCCTGTAACTATGAAGGGGCCATTGACTTTCCAGCATCATAGGGAGCCCAGAAATTAGTGTGAGGGATTCCTTCCAGAAGTGAGCTTGAAATGCATGTCCAGCTGTCATCTTCAAACCTGTAGGCAGATGGGGAGGACTGAGAAGGGAATAGGATCAGTGCGAATCATGGAAGAGTCACTGCTCTGAGGCATTCCTTTTATGTCCAAGCAGCCATCTCACATGAGTGAGCCTCCCAGTGGCTGTGAAAAATCATTTCCTGAGCAGATTATGGTTAGCCTCCACACCACCCTGACCAACCGCTACCACTCCCGCTACGGCAGTTTTAGTAAACGTCTACAGGCTGGGGAGACCACACCAGGGAGGCACACAGCTCCTGGACCCCCACCTCCAGCATCCTCAGGGGAGACTAGTCTTCAACCCAAAGCATGAATGGAACCTGAATTTCTGCCCATTTCGTTGTCTACCCTGATCTCTCTCCCTCAAAGATGAGCATAAAATGGTTACAAGTTGCAGAATAAAATGAAATACAAGGTTGATTCATTTGTCAGCTTCCTCTGCCACAAGTAACCTCTTTCTTGGGTTGGTGATGTGGGCTTCGCTGAAGTCATGATAACCAGGGCCTTTTGTACATCGATGTTTTTTTGAAAGTGCAAAGTTCCTTTTATGGAGCAGTGTTTCTAGGCTGAAGAATGCTTCTCCCCTCCCCTTCCCTCCCCTTACACTCAGGATGCAATTAGTTGCATCGTCATTTAAAAAAGTATGCTGTTAATTACTGCTTTGTGTCGTCCCACCCTTGTCACAGACTGGAGTTTTTATTCAATTAAACCTCCTCTTGCCCGTTTCTCTTCTCATCGTACATTCCTGAGGTTTAGCAGTCAGCACACACACAGGACACTGGAGAGCTTTTATTTTTAATCTGTGTTTCACATAGATAACCACTTCTCTTCAATCAAGGTACAGTGGAAGGGCTTGTTCATATTTTATTCTGCCCAAGAAATACCTGTGTACCGCGGAAGGCTGGAATCCACCTGTTTTGTCAGGTTTGTAGCTCACAGGGCATTTGGTACACGGGGCTCTGCTGTTTTCTCAGCTGTTGAGCTCCACAAGCAGCCACTCCAGATGCTGAAGCTTCTCTAGGGAAGGGGTCACACACTTATACTGGGAAAGTGCAATGCTTTCGCCTACCGGGAGAGGAATCCTGCTAATTCTCATAAAACACAACTTGAGAAAATTCTGTTGCAGACTCGAAAATTAAAAGAAACACAAAAACAAAAACATTCTAACTTAATAGAATATCCTCTCTGCTCACCCCCAGCTTTTAATTA